CACACTATACAGCACAATGGTCTCTTAAGGAGGCAAACTCCATCTAATTCTCTTGGAGCTTTGGAGATCCATAATGCATGTCATCACTTCCTGCCCCTCATCTGCGATAAAACAGTACACATTTTCACAGGTAGTCTTATAACAATGTTCTATATCAGCTGCCAGGGCAGAGCCCACTCTTACTCACTCTGTTCACTGCTCTCTGTATTGATGCAAGTGCTACTACTGTGGATGCATACTAGCAACACAAAGAACGTAGTGTGGACATGAAATAGCAGTTTTATTGTTGTGGCAGACATCTGCAATAGAGGTTTAAACAAACACCTTAACTGGATGGCCCACTACATTCCACACTCTAATGACATAAAAAGCCAAGCACCGGGTATTTAGAGAACTTAGAACCCACTCCATCAGCCTCATTTACCATGTGACAAAATATTTTTTCCTTTTCTTTCCCTCCCTGTACCCTCTTTTTCTCTGCTATTTATTTGTCCCCTGGACTCCTTAACTCCATTCATCTGAAGAAGTGCGTTGTGCCCATGAACGCTCATGATACTGTGATGGGGAGCGGTCACAGAAGGCTGCTTGGAGGAGCTTCCCAGAGTGCTGACAAGGCTATTGCCACTCACCTTCCTGCTTTCTGGGGCTTCTCATGCCCAGTCTTGCTGGGCCAGCTTGAGTGGTCTCCCCCAGCCAATGCACCAAGCTGAGATCAATACCCCCTCCCTCTTGGAGAAGCAGCACAGACACTGAATCTCTTCAGATCTAAGGGAAATGAAGTCTAGGGCTCAGCTTTCTGGGATACCAAATGGGATCCCCCAAATGGGATCAAAATAATTATTTAGGTAAGCCCCCTTTAACAATGAAAGTGGGAATGTACACACAGATTGCTCCCCACGTAACAATTATTTACCCTGGAATTGATAGGTAAATAAGTGATTTCATTAAGTACAAGCAGAAGGATGTAAGTGGTTATAAGTGAGAACAAGCAGAGCAAAATATATTACAAATCAAAAGTAATAGAAAACCCTGAGCTAATTCTAACACTAAATCCTCAGTACAAACTTATTACAAACTCACCCTAAAACTGTTCCTTTTCCAGCTAAGCCTTCCAAACAGAGTAGGAGTCTCTTTTTAAGTCTCCTTTTCCCTGGAGCCTTTGGTTCATTCCCATGGGTGTGCCAGACAAAGACCTGCTAAGATTCCCTTCTTTCATGGGAAGTTACCTGGCCCTCCTACTGGTTAGGGAGGTCATGTGACTTCCTAAGATCAACCACTGCTAAGACATAAGGAGAAAAGGCTATTTGCATATGATTGTTCATACACTGAGGGCTCCCAGCCTTGGAAACACTCTTGATAGCTTTTATTTACACATTTAAAAAACATAAACCATTTGTCGATGGGTGGGCTCCCCTCAAGTGGGATCCCACAGGCAAAGCCTCCCACGGGCCTATTTATCAGTGTCCATACGGTCCAATGGCTGAAGTCCAAGTCTTAGCTCCCTTTTGCTCCCATGGTATCTACTGCCTGTCCGCCAGAGCCCCAAATAGCGGCCCCCTCTATCGGACTTAATAATGCTCAGAAGCCGGAGTCCAGCTGACAGTCCCCTCGATAGGGGTTAATGAAGATCAGAAACCTGAGTCCCAATTAGCAGTCCCCTCTATAGGGGATAATATGGTCTAGAGACCGAAACCACCTCAGCACTTCCCTCTGTACTGGGTAAATACGGCCCTGAGGCCTAGTCCACAGTAACTCTTCCCCCTACTGGGGAAAAATACTGCCCTAAGGCCTAGTCCACAGGCCCAAATGAAACTATCTTTGTCCTCAAACACTGCAGAGGTGGGAAGGTGAAGGGGGAGGGGGACCCTATTGAAATTGGTTCTCATCACTGCTTATTCAGTGGGGATCCCACCGCAATATGCTGAGTACTCAGGGTTTTATGCCCCGCCCTAGATTTCTTCCTACTGCCCCACACCGTCCCTCCAAACTGCCTCCTTGGCCATGGCTGTCACTGCAGCTGAGCTTGCTGCTGAGGTTGCAGTGGCTGCTGCGTCGGGTCGGACTATGTCTGCTCCTCTGGCTCTGGAGCTTGCTCAGCAGGTCCTTCTCCCTCTATGGCCAGCTCCAAGTGAGCTACCTCAGGGCTTTTTATACTCAGGCTCACTTGTGAGTATGCCCGGCAAGGCCGTGGGAGAGGGGCACTTTCAGCCAACTGGGCCCAACCCTCAGTCTGTTCTACAGTGCAGTGCTAGGACACCATTCCATACTTCATATGTCTAATTTTACACACAAGAAAGATACATACACCAAAATAAGGTATACAGACCCAGTAGATTAAGACATTAAGATCGATAGGTTAAATGAAGCAATTTGAGCAAAGCATCTTTAAGTTATGCATGTTTGTGTTCATAAGTCCATTTCATAAAGCATGGGGAGGTTCATTACAGATACTATCTAATTTTTTTTGTTAGTCTCTAAGGTGCTGCAAGACTATTTGTTGTTTTTTAAGTTTATCCAGACTAATAAGGCTACCCCTATGAAACTTCAGTACATCAGTGTAATTTAAGTTGATTCGATTTTGTAGTGTAGACAAAGCCTAAGAAATGGATGTAATATAGTTATCTGGTCCTTAATCCCCATATCAATGGAATTTCTGAGAATACGAAGTCAGAACAATGACACCTAGCAACTGGGAAGATGTAGATTTCCTCACCTTTCATCAGGGAAGTTGACCAACATTCCCCAGCTTGAAAACAAAAATGTAGGAGGTGTGAAGTGATAAGAGCTGGCTGCTAGAAAGAGTTAGGGTTCTCACCTGTAATCTGACTGAGGAGGTCAAGCTAGGAGCATGTCTATACTTCAGATTTACATCAGCACAACTGCACCCATGCAGCTGTGCCACTGTAGTGTGTCAGGTAAAAACTCTCGAATCTGATAGGAAAGAGCTCTTCTGTTTGCTTAGTAACTCCCACTCCATGAAAGGCAGTAACTATGTCATCAGGAGACTTATCTACATAAAAAGCATAAAAAACAACAAGTACTCTAACAGCATCTTAAAGACTAACAAAACATGTAAATGATGATATGAGCTTTCGTGGGTACAGCCCACTTCTTCATATGAAGAACTGCCTACATAGACAGTTGTGGTCAGTATAAGTACATCATTCAGGAGATGGATTTTCCACATTGGTAAGCAATGTAATTATACTAAACTAATTATGTAGTGTAGACCAACCCTCAGACACACACACCTTAAATGATGGAATTCATTACATCTTGGATGGTTAAACCAGAATGGTCTATGCTTTAACTGTCGGTTTTCTGTGCTAACCTAATGACTTCCTATGCTGTGTTCCAGTTCACTAATAAACCCTACTGTTTTGACAAAGCTGTTTGAGCATCATTGCAAATGCTTGCTCAAGTGCATTAATCCCCGAAGAGTGTACCAGTCTGTACCAGGAATCTGTCTTAATTGGACATGTTGAACAGAGGTTATGGTGTGAAGCAGGTATGCTAAAGGCCAAGAGATACAGTCTAATGCAGTAGTGAAGCCACATGGCTTAACCTGGAGGAGAACTGGGGGCCTGGCACATTGAGGCTATGTCTAGATTGCAGGCTTCTTTCAGAAGAAGCTTTTCAGGAAGAAATCTTCTGGAATAATTTCTTCCGAAAGAGAACACCCAGACGCCAAAGCGCGTCAAAAAAGCGATCTGCTTTTTCGAAAGATAGCATCCACACTGAGTGGACACTATCTCACATTTAAGCTGTGATTACTATGGATGGAGTGGCCACCAGGGCACCTGCGCTTTTTCCTCTTTCCTCTTTTGAAAGAACTCCCTCTTCCCCATCCACACACGCCTTTTTCCGAAAGAGCTCTTTCGGAAAAAGGCTTCCTCCTCGAAAAATGAGGATTACCAATGTCAGAAAAACCCTTCTGTTCTTTTGATTTTCTTTCGAAAGAACGCGATTGCAGTGTGGACGTAATTCAAATTTTTTTCAGAAAATAGTCTGTTTTTCCAGAAAAAACTCTAGTGTAGACATACCCTGAAAGGGTTCCTCCTAGAGACTGTTCCAAAGCTTGAGCCATAGCACTTATCCTGTGGATCTATGGCTATGAGATTGTTTTAAATGTTATTAAAATATTCCTGATAAATTGGCAATGTTTGTATATGGGTTGTGGAAATGTATCACACTTATGACTGGTATTACAGGTACAAGAAGTATAGTTACAGGGTCTCTGCAGTTTTTCAATTTCTCCATCCATAGAATGGAAACTTCTTGCAATCTTTTAGCAAAAAAAAGAACAAAGGGAGGTTGGATACATTTTATATGGTAGCTGTAAAATTATTCTGAGTTATATGAAATTATGATGACATTAATGATAGTTTGTTATTCTACCAGCCCATAGGAAAAGTCCAGAAATAAAAACTAATGTGTCTTATCATATAAAAGCATGGTTATGGAAACCCCTAATGGTGTGAATAAGGGTTGAAGAATCCTTCTTAATGTATGACAGGAACAAAATGGGAAGAGTAAGAGTGTAAAGTCATCACAGGAGTAGGATAAAGGCTGTTTTGTTTTTGAATGCCTGATTAAACAGGGTATTTGTGATATGTGTTCTATAGTTTGACCAATGATTGTGCATTCTATTGTGCATACTGTTGTAGTTTGGTTACTGGATGGTGTACAATGGGACTTAACTGTTGCTTTCCTAGATATTTATGTTTGTAATATTGGTTGGTTAATTTTTTGCGGCTTTAACTGTTGTACAACTTTGTATTCTTGTTTATGAATAATAATACTATATAGCACCAAATTCACCTTGAATTAATCTATTAGATTTTGGCTTATTTCTCCTCTCATCAACAACTGAGTGTTATTTTGTTGTCAGATGGAAAATCTGATACAAACCCCGAATACTCCTTAATGACGGTGAAGTCTCAAATCCCTATTTTCCTTTGCAGATAACTTTTCATTTTCATTTCTCTTTTTGTACATAGGAATGTTTTCAGTTTATACTGCCAGCCCTACCTCATGCCATTGATCTTTTGCGGGATGCCATAGTAAAAGTAAAGGAGGTACACGACGAACTTGAAGACCTACCTTCACCACCACCTCCTCTTTCTCCTCCTCCAACCACCAGCCCACACAAACAGACAGAAGACAAAGGTGTACAGTGCGAGGAAGAGGAGGAAGAGAAGAAGGATAGTGGAGTTGCCTCAACAGAGGACAGTTCCTCTTCACATATAACTGCTGCAGCCATAGCAGCTAAGGTGAGTCTGGGTCATATGCATAAGGGGCACTTAGGTTTCTATCTCAGGTACTTTCTATCAACATCCAGTTGCATTTGAGTATGTTTGGATGGATTTGAAATCCATTTAAAATACATTGTCTAGAAATCAGTACCATCCAGCTCCACAACAATATGCAAGCCTTGTTTCGGTAGTTATAACAGCAATCATACCTGGCTATAATCTTAATGAGTATGTGGACTTTACAATACCATTTTCTGAAGTTCTGGGTTTGGTTTGGTTTTTTTACTCAAACATCTGTTCTCCCTGACTGTATTACCTCCAGTCAGTGTTGCTTCATTTCCTGCTCTCACAACATTCTGTTTAAAAGGACAATATTGATTTTTCCGAAACAGATAGAAAAATATGGCAGGAAGGTAGTAGAATAGCTGCTAATCTACCCAGGCTACTGGTGGTCTCCCCATATACATCTGTATTCTGGGGGCATAGTGACGTGGAATTCTGCTTCAGCAAATAGCCAGTTTGATTAGGCAAATGTTATCAAGTCTAGAATTAGAAAATTTGGAGTGTAAAAGAAAAATGATTTGCAATAATTTGTTCAAATAGTACTTTGAAAAATGTATTATTTCAATATACAAAAACTAGTTAAATGCTATTTTCTCTATAATTTTGTTTTTCCACATCAATAATATTGTTTTAGTTGCAGCATTGTATCTTTTACCCTTGTGTCATGCCTTCAATTTATACATATTTAAGGTTTGTGCTTTCCTAGAGGCTTGCAAAAGGTTATTTAAGTTTATCAATCCTACAACTAAGCTGCTGTTTTGCAGTTACTGTCTTTTTGATTTACTTAAAATAACATTATACCACTTTTTTTTTCAAAAGATGAAGCTAAGGAATGATGAATGTTTCCATGGTATCTCCAATCTAACATAATTTTCTCATGAACCAAAAATCTTGATTACATACAGGTTTGCAGGAATAGGACAAAAAGTGATATAACTAATCAACAGCAAGTTGCTATTCTTGTTAATTTGTTACATTAATTTAAATGTAATATCTAATTAAATCAACTAGTTCTTTTGAAATGGTCAAAGGCTTAAGTATTTAGTGCAGTATTTTAAGGGTGGAAAATACCTGAGATCTAAACTGACTGTGCTCATATAAGTTTCTAAGCATTTGGCATTTCAGTGTCCCACCTTTATTCACACTTGTTCCCTCTCAGTCATTTTGCTTGTATAGTTTCATGTTTTCCTGTCACTGTATTCATAGCTGTTATGTATTGTACATTAGAAGCATCCATCCTACACCAGTTCTGCTGTTATCATGGCAAAAGGTGAACAGCCCATCCCGGGTCTCATCTGTTATTCCCATCACGCAGCAGGCAGTGCAGGAGAACCGGTAAGACACACCTACAAGAGGCTTTTGCATTAATAGTATCTGCAAGTATACTGCCTGCCTCCTCTCCTAGCCTGTAAAGAGAAGGTGATGTTTGTTTTATTCTAGCAGACATACAGTGGTGCTTTAAAAAAAAAATAAATATATGAAAAACCACTGAGCCTATTCTGTCAGGGACACAGAGTTTAATAAGATCTGAACTATAGCCAAAATTTAAAAAAATATTCAATTGAGGATTAAGATATTGTGGGTTGTGTCAATGAGTGTCATCATCTGGATGCCAAGATGTTCATTGCTATGAAACCTGTGTCTATTTCATCATCACATATATTTAATAAATTATCCAATCTAATTAAAATAATCCCTTAAAATTATTGCTTTAGAGTCTTAGAACTTTGGTGGCTTTTTTCCCATCAAGTTGTATTACTTCTTTAAATATTTTTTTTTCATTGATGAGTATATGATGACAAATGAGTTTGTCATTATTATTAGCCGTTCATATTTTGTTTGTTTATGCTTTAATCATTTATAGTTTTTATTAAATTCTGATGTTTTCTGTTTAGAGTCAGAATTTCCCACTACGTAGGGGCAGGATAAAAAATATTCAGACTAAAAAGGACTTTTATTATAGATATTGTCGAATTTCAATGAACAACAGGTAAAAGTGAAGAAAGATGTAACACGACAAATCCATTTATGATATTTGACTGGTCTGACAATTTAGTTAGCAGGGCCATAGTTAAGAGTCTAGCAGTATCATTTACAGTTTTTCTTACCCCCAGAATTTTCAGTCTAGATTTAAAGAATGAACTAATATGGGCATCAGAAAAATATAATGTATTGTGTCCATAGCTACAGATTAGCAAAACCAAAGAAAAACAATTATTTGGAGAGACTTGGACCAGGAGAGACCTGCTCATACCTCATTAAACAGCAAGCTGCTGCTTATTGGGAAAAATTCTCTGAATATGATTATCATTAGCTCTGTTGGCAGAGGCTGCCCAGTGTTGCACTTAGTTTTTCAGTTTTTTATTTGTTTCCCCTGAGACAAATGTAATCAAAATCATGTGTGTGTATTTCAAAGATTACATGACACATTTTAAAAAAGTAATTTATGAAATGAGGAAAGGACCCAGCAGATGATGATTCCTATGTTCAATGTATGAACTTTTATGGGTACTGACACCTCTACTTCATGCTACTGTAGTAGGCATCTATATAATTCTTATCCCTAGTTTACATACTTCATTATTATTAAAACAATGAATTCAGCCTCTCTCCGCAATACACTAACAAATTGTCACCTAATCTTAGACCTAGAGTTTTGGGTTATTTTATTTTAAGCTCTCATGATGTCATCATCTCCCAATCTCCCTTAATTTGATCTTCATGGGTCAGGAGAGGAATTGGCTATTTTATAAGAACTTTTTTTTAGTGTGTATATCTTTCATCTTTTGTGTCTACAAAATGCTTCTTCTCTTTTGTTGTTCATTTTGGACAGTCATGACAATTGCCCTCAGTAGTTTATGTACTTGACAAATACTTCCTAGTATTGTCAGTCTCGCCTCAGATCATCTTAGAGGAAAGAGGCTCAAGAGCTTTTTGCTTTTGCCTTTTTCCCTCTTTTGTCTTCGCGTGGTTCTTTGATCTTGAAATTCACAAGAGATATTGTAAGAAGATAGCTATAAAACTACTTCCAGAAAAGGTGATGTCAGACAAAAAGATGTCCTTCAGAATAAAATTACATAATAAAATGATGGATAGTGATGAATGCATGGAAAGGAGAAGAAAGAGAGAGAAAGGATAAGGGAAAAGGGTAGAGTTTTCCCCCAACTAGGGGGAGAACCACTCTCCAATTAATCATTTCACAGTGCTTCACTTAAATTCTTTTCTACTCTTTCACAATTAACCAATTTTGACTCTCCATACTATTGCAGTTGAATTTATTTTTAATTTCCCTTTCTCTCAAAATAATTCTTCAGTACAATAATTCACCACCACAATTTCAAAACCTTTCCACTGCCCAGCATCTCATTTTCTACTTACCCACACCACTACTATTTCATTTTCATCCCCTCATATTCCCTTTCACAAGTATTTTTTCTATACCTTCCTCATATCTTCCACTTCAGCATTTAATTTCTGGCATGGCATATATTCCTTCTTTCTCTCTGTGTCCCTTTGTCAATTGTTTTCTTCTTTCCTCTACTACTTTGACTATATTTTGCTGCAATATTTTCAGTTAATTATATGATTTTTGGAGCAGGGGCCTTATTCTACATCTGTAAAGTATCCTGCATAATTTGGATGCCACATAAATAATAGTAATAATAATAAAGAATAATTTAGTATTAGTTAACATTATATTGCAGTAGTGCTAGAGGCTAACAAGATCAGTATCCTATTGTTACTAGGTGCTGTGCAAACATATATGTCCCAGTGATTTTGGACTCTAATGATAAGAAATGAGAGAAACAAAATGGGTCAGGATGGAGAAGACAGAGTAACTAAAGTAATAGCATGTAGATTCATAGATCTTAAGGGCAGAAGGGGCTATCGTGATCCTCAAGTCTGACTTCCTACACATGGCAATCCACAGAACATCACCTATCCTCTCCTGTAATAGACCCACAACCTCTGGCTGAGTTACTGAAGTCTTCAAATCTTGATTTAAAGACATCAAATTACAGAGAATCCACAATGTACTCAAGTTCAAACCAGTAAGTGAGCCAGGCCCCACACTGCAGAGGAAGGCAATAACTTACCAGTGTCTGTCAGTTTGGCATGGTGGAAAATTCCTTACTGACACTGTATATGGTGCTCAATTAGACCCTAAGCATGGGCAAGACCCACTACTCAGCCACTCAGGAAATAATTCTCTGTAGTAACTGAGAGCTTTCCCCAACTAGTGTCCTATCTCCAGCTTTTGGAGATATTTGCTAACAACAGTTGTAGATGGGCCCATCTGCCATGGTAAGCAATCTCATTTTTCCATCTCTGCCATAAGTTTATCAAGCCTAGTCTTGAAACACATTAGGTTTCCTGCCCTCACTATTCCCCTTGGAAGGCTGTTCCAGAATTTCACTTCTCTGATAGTTAGAAACCTTCATCTAATTTCAAGCCTATACTGATTGATAGCCAGTTTGTGTCCATTTGTTCTTGTGCCAGCATTGGCTCTTAACTTAAATAACTGCTCTCTCTCCCTGGTCTTTGTCACTCTGATGTATTTCTAGAAAGCAATCACAGTAGCCTGCTTCTGTACCTGTTCCAATTGTGACAGGGTCAGGTTGGAGGACTACAGCAGATAGAGAGAAAGTCAGCTCTAAGGCAGCAACAGCCCTGGTCAATCAGGAGCAAAGGAAACGGCGGCTGTAAATCAGTCAGAGCCAGCTGATCTCACCCGAGCTAAGGCAGCAACAGCCCTGGTCAATCAGGAGCAAAGGAAACGGCGGCTGTAAATCAGTCAGAGCCAGCTGATCTCACCCGAGGCTGCCATGGAGCCTTTTAAAGGAAGCCCTCCTTGCAGGGAGTGGGAGAGAGAGAGAGAGGATGTGGAGTGAGGAGACCAGAGCAGACTAAGACAGGTAACATCAACATTGCCAGAGATAGCAAAGTGGGGGTGAGGAGCCCCAAATAGGGGTTTAAGGCCCTCCTTCTCCTGGCAGCCTGAGAGTCCAGCTGGAAACTGGAAAGGACTGTTCTTGCAGCCCAGGCTGACCCCGGGGCACTGGCCCCAGTGCCTATGTGGCTGAGGGACCAGAGCTTGAACCCTACCAAGGGCTAATAGCGCAGGATTGAGACTGCCTGAGAAAGGACTGAGCAAGGTACTGGGACCCACAAGTGGGGTTACCCTGCCACACAATCTTAATTCATCTCTTTTAAACATGGGAGACCAGAACTGCACATGGTATTCCAAATGAGGTCTCAGCAGTGATTTGTATAATAGTAATAATACCTCCCTATCTCTACTGGAAATACCTCATCATAGGATCACATTAGGCCTTTTTCATGACTGCATCACATTTGCAACTCATAATTCTCCTGTGACAGACCAATACGCCAAGTCTTTCTTCTCCTGTGTTGCTTCCAACTGTGTCCCCATCTTACACCAGTAATTCTTGTTGTTAGTCCTTGACCATGCACTTTGCATTATTATATTTCATCCCATTTTTTTTCTAGTTTTTCAAGGTCATGCAAAGCTTCTTCTATAACTCTAGTCGTCCACAATATTGGAACTACCTCCCAACTTTGTGCCATCTGCAGATTTCATTAGTGTAGACTCATTTTTTGGGCCAAGATCATGAATGAAAATGTGAAATAAGAAGGGGCTCAAAGCCAATCCCAGTCCCTGAGGAACTCGACTAGTAATCTTCCTCTAGCTTGACAGTTCACCTTCCAATATGACCCTTTAACAAACGTTTCCTCTCTAACAAGCATTCTAAGCAAAATTTAGGATATTAAAGTGTCCCACAATCACAAAATTCCTCTGAGGCATCCTGGGTTTTATTTAGCATTTCAACTACATTGTGTTGTAGTGTTTTGTTCCCTCTGCCATTAATATATTTCCTTAACAAATTATTGCTTACTCTTTGATCCCATACATCTGATTATCAAGATTGTATCACTATCAGAGAGGTGATGTATCTTTAACTTTTCAGGCAATTTGTTTAGTAATGTCCATATGATTGCTATGTAGACTATTTGCACATTTGGCAATCTGGTTTTTAATTACAAATAACATCTCTTTCCAAAAAGTGTGTGTCTAAGAAATGATCTAAAAATGGTTTTGAGGACAATGAAAAGTAGTTCCTGGGCCCACTGGCCTTTTTCCTACCTTAGGGTTTGAAAAACTCACTACTCCACTTCTTTCTAATGGGAAAGCTTTCCCTGAATTGTGGGTCCGCAGACATCAGTTTACACTGAATCTATTTTATTTGGTATTTTTAATTAGATTTCTTGTCATTTGGGCTGTGACAATAATCTTCTGAATATGAATAGATGCATTAATGTCTTTCTCAGTGTGCAGATAGATGGTTCCAGTGCATCTTTAGCTGCTTATAGCTTTCTCAAATGCCAGCAAAATGAAATTAACTCAATTGGTCAGTTTCACCAATTCATAATGCTAAATTCAGCAGTGAAACTGTCCAGAATTATCTCAATTTCACCCTGATGACTGGGAAAATTATGAGCAACAGAAAAGAAGGCACTCAAGCTGATCATTATAGGACACTAAGAATGAAGCTGGGGGACCATCACACCATACACAAATTCATATATTTAATATCCAGGTTGCTAGGAAAGGAGGAGAGTAGCAGAGATGCATAAACAAAAAAACTCATCCATGAAGATGCAAGATGGCTGGTGGAAGGGCAGAGTAGGAGAAAACTTTTCCTTTACAGAAAGCAGGAAAGGAGAGAAGGGATACATTCATGAACAACTCCCTATCCTTGCAACAGTCAAGCAGGTTATCAAGAACATGGTAAGCCTGAGGAGCAGAGAGATCTAGGTTTATGAATCTGCACAGGGACTAAGAGGAGGCAGTTTATGCCTCCCCTATTAAGGTCCATTGTTCAGGCTAAGATAAGCTTCAGGGCTATCCAAATTATGCTCCTATTTCAGTGGCCTGTATCTTCCATTTTAGGTGTAAAATCATCAGGACAATAAGAATACCCTGGCCAGGCCCTTCTTGCCCCCAGTCCATCTGTTTCTGTTCCTCTGGCCTAACCCTGCTCTGCTTCCACTCTTCCTCCAAACTCATGACTTTTATGTCAAGAACTGCTATGAAGGAGATATACATGGCTTCCTTGCATCCTCTAGTCTCCAGAAGCTAATTAAAAACATATTTGAGTAGGATCCAGATGCCAGCATCTTGCTAAGCTTTCCAGTACCCACCTCTTTCACAGGTCTTGCAGGTAGAGATGTGACTTCTCAACAAGGCTTTATCCCTTGCTCTCACCTGTGTCCACCATGAAAGCATCTTCATGTTGGCCTTTGGTTAATCATAGGTCTTGTACACTGGCTAGTGGAAACTGGTGATTATTCTTTTGGAAATTGAAAACAGGATACTGGCTTGATCCATTAGAATGTGAAATGTTCATTGAGAAGATAAAATGGCATATGGAAAACAAAAGACCAAGGCACAGCAAAAATAAATCTGTTGTGCGGCTGCCGTTGCTGAATCTGTCTGGATTAATATAGGACTTCAGGTTCCAGAGCTATAAACTCAGCATCTTTCATCAACACAAAATTAACTTATTTTTTTAAGAAGAAACAATAGCTTCACTGAATGGAATAAGAAAGAATATGTATTCAGTCCTTGACTTCTCTTCTTAGATTGTCATCAGAGGTATCAATTAATGCTATGTGTGGTATTGGTTTCATGATTAGGACAGCAGTCCACTAGGAACTGAAGTAGGAGTCTAACTCCTTTTAGACAGGCCATGAAAGAACCATAGTGTGGCGGTAATATTTTGGTCAATATTGGCTTTTGTTGGACTTGAACCTTAGTCCTGGAGGCAAAAAGTTCCATATCTTTTGCCAGTCCTCTGACCGTTTTAGTTCCCTCCCACGTTGAATTGGTTGTTTGTTTATTTGTTTATATTGTGTATCTAAATGCAATTGTGGATTTTTCAAGACAAATTGTGGTATGTTCTGTGCATCTGCAATTAGAATCTGACCTTGTATTTGCTGATGGATTGTTTTGGAACTACCAAAGGGGGAGCGCTATCGCTTGCAGAATGGAATTCTGAAGAAGATTGGGTGAAGAGAGATGGGGTATTTCAAGCAGTTTTGGATTCATATGTAAGATTTTGAGTCATTTTGAAGTATAATATATTTTGGATTGTTGACTGCATCTCTTGTCCTGTTCAGATTCCAGACTCCATCATTTCTCGTGGTGTTCAGGTGCTCCCACGAGACACAGCCTCCCTCAGTACTACCCCTTCAGAATCTCCTCGTGCCCAGGCCACTTCTCGTCTCTCTACTGCATCCTGTCCAACACCAAAAGTAAGTACAATGCCTTGCCATCTCACACTGTTGGGTGTGTAATCTGATTAGTAGTTCCCTTCCACTGTTGAAGGTAGGCGTGCATGCAAATTTACATTGTTGTAAATGACAAATGAATGAAAAATAGTGTAGTACAGTCTTACGTGTATTGTTACATAGTTTTACAGCAATAGGTTACTAAACATCTTATTGTGATTTTGCAACTCTTGTATTGAACCATTGCTGCAGCTTCTATTGGCCAACAGGGAAGCGTATTACGTACATGAAAACATTTGTCTTCTTACCTACTGCAATATTGATCATAAGCATGAGAATGTTAACCCTTTACAATTCTCTGTTCACTTCCTGAATAGTACAGATGACTCTTCCACTGAGTAGCAGGATTAAACTAACAGAGTACTTTCAGCAAAAGCATGTGTGCACATTTCTAGCCTGGGCTGGGGCAGCTCTTTGCCCCAGTATAATACAGATAAATTGAAAACACTTTCAAGCCAACTTGTTTTGTTTTAACTTGGATACTTGCTGCCTGATATTTGAAAAACAACTCCAATTTGACTAGAAAGAAAGTTTTAATGCCAACCTTTTGGGGGTATTATTCAATTCTTGCAGATTATTCCTTGATTTAATTTATTCAAGTGAACTCTGTTTATGTGTGATTTGTATTAGACTTTAAAAACAGTGCTTTGGACCCTAAAGGAATGGACTGGTTGTAAGGCCAGTAATGATCATGATTGCTTTCTGCCAGAGAGTTCTCCATTTATGTTCAGCTAGTGTTGTTCATACCACAAAGTTCTTTTTTTGATGTACCTGATTACAAACACATTAATTGATGTGTAGCAAATGGCAAATAGTAATGATACTTTTCATCTAATCGATAATGATTCTTGGAAATTATTCTTGTTGCTAAAATGACTGCAGATGTCTGACAATTCCAGCAAATTGGACAATTCCTATAGCCATTCATGTCTTGAGTTAACATGTTTGACATTTTATAAACTGTAATAGAATTTTGGAGGCAGAATATGGTAGACTTTGCTATGCAGTTCATTGCTCTTAAAACTAAGTTCAGTGAAACCTTCAGCTTTGCTTGACTATTTGGTTTCCAGAATGAATTGTCACTTATAAGATGATCTTATTAAAGTAAAGCCTGGAAGGGTATTACATGGTAATATCCAGGACAGAGGAGCAATGCACAAGATAGGAGAGGGAAACTGTGTGGACCCAATTCTCACACTTTGTACCTTTAGAGAAGATTGTGAAGCAGGGATGTTCACACTCGCATACACAAACACACAGAGCACAAGGGGCTAATAAAAGGCCTAAAGAGAAATTGTTATATTAATGAGAGCTTCCCAATGAAATCTAAGTAGTTAAAAGAATATATGGCAAAAGAAACGAACACAATATGCCAGATCTGAAACGAAATCCACACGATTAAACAGTCTTCCTGGGATAAAGGTTTATATAAGAAATATAGAGGGAAATATGAATCAAATGATGAGATTCAGGTTTTTCCATATGGAATTTGTTGGAATAAATCCCCATCAAAAAAGGACCACTACTTTAATTTAGTCCATGTTTAATTGTCATTTCTTACTAGAAATTCAAGTGTATTTTCGAGACAGGCTAAATCATTGAGCACTTTCTAGAACATAAGAATTGCTGTGCCAGATCAGATCATTGGTCCAATTATTCCTGTATTGTATTTCCAGTAGTGACCAGTTCAAGCTGCTTCAAAGGAGTGTTCAAGAAAACACAGTAATAAACAGTTTGGGAATAATTTGCCCAAAGGGAAACCTATTTCTTAATCCCCATTATTTAGAGGTTGGATTAAAAAACATGATTTTTTATTTCCCATACAAAGCTTTTGGAGGGGTTTTTTATTCCTTACCATAAAATTTCAAACTATTCTTGTTATCAATATAAATGTCCAGTCTTCTTTTGAATCATGCTAAATTTTCAAGAAATCGGTGGGTACCGAATATAATAGACTATATGGTTCTTACCTATTCTCTAGGGATTATTCGTGTTTCTTGGTATCTTGCTACTTTCATTATTATGACCTTTTGAAGCGTAGATTTCTCGTTATGCAACAAGCATGCAGATTTCACTGGAGCTGATATGGGAGCTCCTGACTCACCCATTAGTGGGGTTAACAATAGGTTCTAATGTGTAACATGTATCTGATTTGTTAGAATGTGTTTATTTTAATCTGCAAGTGTTTAACATATGTATCATTTTATATTCCTGTTTTTGAAGTTCTCTTAGATTATGGAGAATCATAAACACATACATACATGGATAGCAGTGTGAAACAGAGAAATCTTAGCAGAAGTCAACTCACACCCCACATAATTACACACCTGACATGTTGATGGGAGTTCTGATTTAAAATAGAAAACAGTTGCCCCAAGAGTGGGGAGTAATATATTTCTTTATTAACTACAAACTCCAGTCTTGTTTATTATACCCTTTAAAAGTATATTTTTATCCTGCATACCAGAGTCTCAATAACTCTTTACTGAGCTGTTCTAGCAAAAGATCATGTGATCATCTCAATCAAGAACCAAGCTTCAGCAATTATAATAGCAACTATAATGGATTAATATAGAGGCAATCTCTGAAGTAATGGGTTTTGAAAGGTATGTTAGGATTATGGGGTAATGTTGTTGACAGTCCTGGTTGGTTAGTTGGAAAAGGAAAAGCGTATAACCTTTCATAAGCTTATTTTGAAAAAGTGTATATGCTTGTATAACGTGGTCAGACATACTTCAAAAATAAATATTTTTAAAATTAAAAATGTTCTCAGTTTTTGCAATTTCTCATTTTCTGAAAATGTGCCTCCAATCCAGCACTAAGTATAGATTGAATGAGCTCCACATATTTATTTTAAAACCGTCATCAAAAGCTCCCATACTTCCCTAAATCTTTGTCCCTATGTTAGTCTAGTTCTTGGTTGTTAATCAATTTGGATTTTCACTGAGACTACAGGTGAAGTGTTATCATCTTATACTAAGACAAGGCCCCCTAAAACTTCCTTTGGTTACTCATAAGATTATAGTGTGTCCCTATATAATCTCTTGTGTAAAATGAAAACTATGTTTTGAACAAACTCCTTTGGGCTTCATGCAAATTTCTACATAATTATAGTAGTTGATTGTACATGTTGAGTCAATATTTCCAACAATTTCACCAAAAAATTGTCAAACTCTGGTATCAATCTTCTTTTTTCAAACAGCCAACTGAGAATCTTATGATGGTACAAAGGAATTTTTGAACTGTTTTGTAATGTACTGTGAACCTGTGTTAGATGTTTCTTCTTACTTCATGAGGTTTAAATTGTGTTCTGAATGTCCATATCTTAAAAGTTTAGAGTGATAATACTAATACAGCTTCTCAAATTTTTCATTTTGCGTTCACTGGCTGAGTAAGTTCTCTTTATCATAATAATCTCTATGTTCTTGGATGGCATTTTGACCAACTTACAACTTAAGACACAATATTCTTTTCATATGACGAAGCAATAGCATTAAGTAAGAATTATTTTTTCCTGTGAGACTACTTGCAGCCATTATTGGATAATTTATTTTAACCAATGATCTTGAATTACTTGTCAGTATTGTTTTTCATTCCTTTAGTTTTTCCTCTGTTTCTTCACCTGCAACATCTCATAGATTCTAATCTACCATCTATAATTTCGAAGAGCATATACACGGCAAAAGCTTAAATCACTTCCTTAAGCTGCTGATTTTGGGGCACAGTGAGTTTTATGCTCTTATCTGTACAGAATATAGCAACTTTGCTTTCAAGTTCAAATCTTTTCCCTTTTACTTTTTCTACTTGCATGATCAGTATTTCATGTTTTTCCGTTTTTGTGTTAGAAACACAAAGTAGATGCTGAAGAGCCCCAAGAAGTCAGGGAAAAGGAGTTTTAAATTATCATTCTAAATGCAGCCCAGCAACAGCAATGGTATCAAATGCATCTTTCTTATGTGATCATCAAATTCATTATTTTTTTTGCTCTTGTATTCAATAAACAAGTTATGAATACTGAATAATGTATTCAATCATCAAGAATCCAAAAAAACTAGTTTTTGAGATGAGCACATTTTTTCCTATCTTAACATAAGAATGGCCATACTGAGTCAAATCAATGGTCTGTGTAGCCCAGTATCTGTCTTCTGACGGTGGCCAATGCCAGATGCCCCAGAGTGAGTGAACAGAAACAGGTAATCATCAAGTGATCCCTCTCCTATCATCCATTTCCAGCCCCTGACATCATTCCTACCCATTTTAGCTAATAATTATTGATGGATATAACCTCCATTAACTTATCTAGTTCTTTTTTGACCCCTGTTAAAGTCCTGATCTTCACGACATACTTTGGCAAGGAGTTCCACAAGTTTGTTTGTGCACTGCATGAAGAAAAACTTCCTTTTGTTTTAAACCTCCTACCTATTAATTTTATTTGGTGACCCCCTAGTTCTTATGTTATGGAAACAAGTAAATAACTTTTCCTTATTCATTTTTCCATACCTGTCATAATTTTATAGACCTCTATCATATCCTCCCTTACTCGCCTCTTTTCCAAGCAGAAAAGTCCTGGTCTTTTTAATCTCCAGATGGCACCCATTTCAAACCCCTAATCATTTTGTTGCCCTTTTCTGGACCTTTTCCAGTGCCAATATATATATTTTTTAAGATGTCACTAAATCTGTATTCAGTGTACCATAGATGTATATAGAGGCAGATATTCTCTGTCTTATTCTCTATACCTTTTTAAATTATTCCTAACATTCTCTTTTCTTTTTCCAATGTGCATTACTTTGCATCTGCAACATTAAAATTCATTTGCCGTTTTGTTGTCCAGTCGCCTAGTTTTGTGAGATCCTTTTGAAACTCTTCACAGTCTGCTTTGGTCTTAACTTTCTTGAGCAATTTAGTATCATCTGCAAATTTTGCTACCTCACTGTTTACCCCTTTCTCCTGATCATTTATAT